TTTTTTTTTTTTTTTTTTTTTTTGACCTTAGCTTTAGACTTTTTTCAGTCTACACAAAGGGATTTAGAGTAAGACATTAGAACATTTTTTTTTTCTTTCTTGCAACTTTAATCTTATGGTCTTTTTATTTTTAACTTTTTAAAACTTGGAGATAAAGCCTATACCCAATTCCTTTTATATGTAATTTTCTCTCAGTGAATAAATATATATAATATTATGTATCTCAATAAAATAAAAAAATTAATCATAAATGACATATAAAATTATATAAAAAATTTATACAATAAAAAATTTTCCTTAATCATTTTTCATCATAATTTTTATTTTAAAACTTAAAAAAATTAGAAATTGATTCACTTACAATCTCATTTTATAATGAAATCTTACAACAATCATATGATATTGAACGAGTAGATATATCCCAATTAATACAACTAATTAAGTGAAAAAAATTGATAAGATTGTGAGACATAAGATTATATGTAAATCATTTCCCTTAAAAATTCAAGGAAAAACACGCAAGATCTTGGCATTAAAATTTGATATTAATTTGATCCAATTATAAAGAAAATTATATATACCTAAGATTTGTATGGAATTGTGGGAACAAATTAATTAAGAAAAGAAAAGAAATAAATCTGTTTTACTATACTTGTCTCAATTAATAATGAAAGGAGATTTATTTCACCTTAGTTAAAAGAAGAAAATTTAGATGACTTACATATGTCAAGTTCATTAGATTCCCCGTTTAAAATCATTAATAAATGAAAAATCAAAATTAAAAATTAATTAATATGTATCCTGTCCTTATTTTGATATATATTAATATATATACAGTAACTTTTTTTCTTTTTGTCAATTCTTAATATGTATCTTTTGGATGAACATTAATTTTTTTGATTTTGGATTATATAATAAAAGATAAGCTTTTCGCATATCTTAATCTATTCAATTTGCATGACATGTGATTTGAATTTAAGATTTCTTATTTTTAATGAAAGAAGATTATAATTGAATTATTTAAATTATTAATAAATAAACATGAATTTTTGTTCATCATCTTTGGAACCCATAAATATAAGAATGCATTAATTTTTCCTTTAAAATGGGTTTGAAAAAAGAAAAAGTTGATGAATTGGTCATTAGCTTTTCAATTTCTTATGTTGCGTTAGAACATGCAATTTGCTAAATTGTACGTGCAACCTAATCATCCACTTTAATCAAATTCAAAGTGGGGTTGGCAAACAAAATCTGAAGACTTAAAAAGGCTAATTTGCCCATTTACCCTTTGTGATTAGTCTGCTATTTCCCTGCTGTGAACATATTTTTGTCAAGTACCCAATTCAGGAAAGCAAAAAATGATAATGATGCGTCAAATAAAATATGTAGATGGATTGGTGAATAAGATGTTTTCTACCATATGTCTATAAGTAAGGCATGAATAGGGGAATATTTTCTCAATGGTTTGGTGTTAAAACTTCAACGCCATGTTCTACGTTTCCCATTTGAGGGATGATATGTTGAAAACATTGGTTACCATGTGTTAGGCTGAAAAGATTAAAAAAAAAAAAAAAAAAAAAACTTATTATAAGGACCATGAGCCAATGACATAAATATTACAATGATAACTCATTTTAGAAAAAGGGTTCTAGGATTCAATTGAGTTACATAGAATACGGAATATATTAAGGAACTAGAGAGGTTATTTTTTTATTATGCAACTATATTATATAATTAAAGTAAGGACCGTAATAAACCAACAAAACTACTCTGCCTTTGAGTAGAAATAAAACCACGTTATAATTATTATATAATATAATGTTGAAAAGGATAACATGAAGGTCCCGTAGCTCAGTTGGTTAGAGCGTTGGTCTTATGAGCCGAAGGTCGCGGGTTCGAGCCCCGCCGGGACCATCTTTTTTGCCTCTGGTCAACACTAAACTTTTTCCAACAAGTAAATGGCCCAGATACTAGCTGTTTACCAAAAGATAGACGGCCCAGATGCTACCTGTAACTGGACAGCTAGCCCACGAAGTACCAAATCCCATCTCTCGTCATAGAATAATAATAACATTATGACATTCTATTTTATTTCTCCTCTCTTTGTTGTGGTTATGGTTAAGGGGACTAGAATTATATTTAATTTAATTAATATTTATAATTTTTTAAAATAAATAATTATGATTTTAAAAATATTAAATTTTAATTTATTAAATAATAAATATTAATTACTTTATTAATTATTAATCATTTTTAATAATAAAATAAAATAAAATAAATATTTTTTTATCAAAATTTTATGATTTTAACAAAATAATTGGTGGCCTAACCATTCCCTTTTCTCACCAATAATTCTCTCTTTTTGGTTAAAAAATTCTTAATTTCTATGTTTGAATAAAAATAAATAAAATCAACGCAATTTCCAACTTTCATAAAAAGAATCTGTAGAGAAATAAATAGGAAAAATCATAAGTTAAGCCCTTGGACTAACCCCAGAATCACTATTAAACCCCTAGACTTTAATTGATGCATATAAGCCTTTGAGCTTTGCGATCAAAGCAATTAAGCCCTTATTCTTACGCCAACTTAACTGCCCGTTTGGGACTGGTTCCCCTGGCTTAACTGCCCGTTTAGGACTCACTCGTTTGGCAGCTTGGATGGCAAAATATTGCCATGTCATGCTTATATGGCAAGGGATTTGACATTTGAATGAGATTTTTCACTTATTCCATCATTCAATTCTTTGACTTAAATAAAGTATAGACAAAATAAAATAAGTGAAATATTATTTAAATAAAATTTTAAATTTAAATTTAATTAATAGAGTAAAAGACATTAAAAATTGTTTATACGTGATTCATTGTGATTTATTTTTACATTAGTTGAGATTAATATAACTTTTAAATTTT